TTGGGTAAATTTCTGAATTCTTTTCTATCGAGATGAGCTAGCTTCGTGCTTTCTTGAAACATCAAAGGCAACCTTTGGCTGAGGGTGATGTCCTACGTTTGGGATCCCAGGAGTAGAAAGACTGAGGCAAGAGGCAGGTGAGTTCTAGGCCAGCTTGGGCTACCGAGTGAGTCCCTATCTCGAAACAAGCAAACAAGCAAACAAACGAACACCTAAGCAAATTTGTTGAAAATTATTTACAGCCAGAACAAGGCATACAAGGAAAGTAAAAATTTTGGATAGCTTCCTGATTTCTGCTCTTATGGATTGGATTTGGTTGAAAATTGGGGATTTCTGGCTGCCAGAGATCAGCAACTAACTGATCTGAATTCAAAATAGTACCTGAGCTTCCTAGCTGTGTGTCTTTGGGCAGGCTTATTAGCACCTCTGTTTTCTTTACTGCCAGTTAACTGCTTGTTTTGAGCTGTAAGTGAATTGAGAATACTGACAGCATCAACTATGCAACCACTAAATGTATTATTAGTCTTATAATTAAGTAACATTGCCGGCACATGTGGATTCCCCCAGTTTTGCTGAGATGGTTAATTTGTTTGCTAGAGTAGGGAAATCGGTGAGCTGGACCAGGGAACTTCAGGCTGTTTGTGTTGGTAAGCTGTCAATGCTAGGACTTTAGACATGTCCTTTGAGTCTTATAGAGTAAGACAGAGGCTGAGACAGGATGACAGAAGAATGCAGAGGAGGTGGCTTATCAGGTTGTGATATTGGAAAGAGAATGGTGACATTTTCTTCTGGAGTCCCCACTCTGACACTTCCATAATGTTTATTTTGTTATTTTGTTTATTGTGCCTCTTGACCTTTGTCATTGTTGATACAGGGTTCCATGTAGCCCAGGTTAGCCTCAAGTTCAATATGAAGTTTAGGTTAACCCCGAGCTACCATCCTACTGTTTCTGCCTCCCTAGTGCTGGAATTATAGGCATGGGCCACTAGGCTGGAACTCTATAACTTCTCCAAGGACAGATGTTATTCTCATGTTCTTTGCATGCTAAAAATGCACTCATTTTTCCTAAGAGCCTTGTATTTCATGATTTGAGGTGGCAGCACCCAACCTCTATCTATCCTTTTTTTTTTTTTAACTCATGTTCTTTGCATGCTAAAAATGCACTCATTTTTCCTAAGAGCCTTGTATTTCATGATTTGAGGTGGCAGCACCCAACCTCTATCTATCCTTTTTTTTTTTTTAAACAAAGGAATTTCTCAATTTTGAGAATGAAACAAATGGAATTACTAAGTCAAGCTAAGTGAAGGATCTGAGGGCACAGTAATGTGGCTGTCGTGTTTTCCTTTTAGAAGGTCCTTTTACCTAAGATTCTTGCTGTCCCCAGCTGTCCTTGGGCATGCAAGAGTAGTGGGGGGAGAGGACTCATTTCCCATCTCCAGATACTGGTATGCTCTTCCAGTCAGGAATAGTCAGTCATTCTACCCTGCTGAGTGTGATCCTTCCAGGATGCCTACCCCTTTAGTTGGGAATAATCTTCTTTCTATTATTATTATTATATTATTGTTGTTGTTGTTGTTTTAGTTTTGAGCTATTCCTTTTAGAAGGTCCTTTTACCTAAGATTCTTGCTGTCCCCAGCTGTCCTTGGGCATGCAAGAGTAGTGGGGGGAGAGGACTCATTTCCCATCTCCAGATACTGGTATGCTCTTCCAGTCAGGAATAGTCAGTCATTCTACCCTGCTGAGTGTGATCCTTCCAGGATGCCTACCCCTTTAGTTGGGAATAATCTTCTTTCTATTGTTATTATTATATTATTGTTGTTGTTGTTTTAGTTTTGAGCTAAAAAAAATAAATCTTGTTTTGTCCTTCTCAGCCTGCTCTAACATTCTGCTCCTGAGAACTCCTGGGTCTGGCTCCTGTTTTCTTGGGTGTCCTAATGAAACTACACAGTTTGCTCTGCTCTTCTGACATTTGGATCTATATGCTCTACCCCCTACGATGATCCTGTTCAGTGTCAGGGAGATGGCCCTTTCCATTACAAAGGGTGACATTCATGTGTCTATTGTGACAGGGCTGGTGGTCGCTCTAAGATTATCTACAGCTCTGGAAATATTATAGTGATTCCCTTTCCACTGTTTTCTCTTCTTCCTGTGGATACAGAGCCAAGATACTGGGGCATTTTACTGTATCAGTTGTTGGAGACAGATGAGAGTGGTCCTCTTGAGGTGAACTGATACAGTCCTGAGAATTTGGGAGCCTCTTTCCAAGCTCCCAGCGTTGTCAACTCTACTTCTTTTTCCTTGGTTCCAAACTCCCAAGGCTTTTAAAAGATGCTCTGATACTCAAGCCTTTCTGTTAATAACTTGCAGAGTCCTATGTGCAGTGTTCTTCCTTCCACAGCTCTCTCTCCTTATGTCTTTTCTGCTTGCCTCAAAAATCCATAAACCAAGGGATGATGGCTGGCTCTTTAGAAGGTCCACATCTCCTCTGATTTTCTGGAGAGAATTTTCTGCAGTTTAGTGAATGAGAATAACAGGTCCAGGGGAATAAAACCTCCATTTACAGTCCGTAGTGGCCATGAGGGGAGATGAAGATACCCAAATTTTGTGACTGCCTGTGGTTCTGGAGGTGACCTGTGAACAAATGAACAGGATCCCTCCTTAAGAACTTTCCAAGGAAGTAAAGGAAGGGGCAGCAGCCCAAGTGTCACCTGGCCAATGAAGTGGCAGAGAAAAGGAAGGGGCTCCTGGCATGATCAAATTGGGGAGGGGGTTAGTGCTAGCTCTGGTTACTGTCCCCCCATCCTGCCCCAGTCTCTTCCCCTACCCAGTTTTTCCAGCCAGTAGCTCAAAGCAGGCTACAGGGTATGTTTCTCTGCAAGACACAGGTACCCAAGTCTGTGGGTCAGGGGAGGCAGCTCCCTTCAGCTCCTTCAAAGACAGCTAGACTTTTCCACTTCCAGGAGAAGCTCCAAAAGGAACATTAGGCTAAAAGAGGAATAGTGTAAGGTCTGCTAAGCAATCCTTTAGGTCAGGGATACACTGAGGGTGTGCTTCCAAAGCTGAGCTTCATATAGTGTTTATAATTGGGTTGCAAAACCAGGGCAGTCAACTAGGAACAGATGAAGTGTCCATAAGGGTACAGGAAGAGGGATTTTTCAGGTCATATGTCATCCATTGGGGCCTTGGAGGTCATTATTGTGGGTTTGGGCCCTTACACCCCCCCACACACACCCTTTAATTCTTACAGAAATGGGAGAATTTCAGACTCTACAGTCTAGACTCAAGGCACCAGGAGGACATGACTTGCTAGGGTGTTGTTGGATGAATGAACAAGGAGAGGCCAAGAGGCCAACTCTGGGCAGGTCAGGAGGAGTGGTCACACCAACTACTCCTTGCCAGAGCATCCTTTCATAAGCCTCTAGAGTCTCTGCCTTCCCAAAAGCAGAGTGCCATAGGGGTGAAGTACCTGAAATTATCCCCCAACCCACCACCCCCACTCCTGCCTCACTTACAGCCAGCTTTTTCACTAGTTGCCTGGAAGCTGAGATCTTTCTCTCTGCCAAGAGCTGGAGTGCCCCTGCCTCAGCACAGGCACCTGGCCCAGGCACTAACTATGTTCTTAGGGGACCAGAAAGCATTTGGATGCTTGAACATCTGACAAATCTCACCACCTCACTATTTAGGGAAGATCTCACAGTTGTCTTGGGGAGGCAGACTGGACTAGGCCTTTACTTCCTCTTCCTACCACGAGGGCCTAGTGATGATCTACCAGGATCGCAGCACTGCCAGAGTTTGGGCCTTGGAAGAATCAGACTTGTATCAGGCTCTTCTCTGCACACCAGAAGTTGGAAGACAACCGGGAATTGCAGGAGCCAAGAGAGGACACAGATGGAGGGTATGGGCCAGGAACGTTCCCAAACTAGTTGCGCATGCAAACAAGCAATACCCAAATAAGAGATGTTCTTGGGAGAAGGGTTTTCCTTTGCCGGGGCCAGGCGGCAGCAGCCAGGAGCAAAGAGGACCCGAGTTTGTAGCAAAGGCCTTGGCGCTGCTCCGTCGCTGGAGCTGACCGCCGCTTCGGGCACAGCCCGGAAAGATGAAAGCAGTGGTGACATTTCTAGTCTTCCGAATGTGCTCTGGGAAAAGATCTGGCGTGCGCGGTACTTTCGCTTTGGGCGTGATTGATGCGAGCCGCGCTCTGAGGGCTGAGTAATTAATAAAGATTACACTCGTTTTGTCGGAATGTCTCTCTTAATTAATGGAGAAGGGGGGTCGCCGAGGGTGATTTATTTGCATTGGGAATGTTCTCTAGGCAGTGTGAGCTCGAGCTCCGCTGTGGAGCAGGCCAGTAGCACTCAAGGCTAATTGGCAATCAGTGGGTGGAGGGGTTCTTGTAGGGATCCCCGTACTCCACCTTCATTTCTTCGCCCCGCTGACTAGGAGGGTCCATTCCCGGGGCTCACCTCTAAATCCCCTCCAGACCCTGTGCTCTAGATGAGCCTCTCTTTCTTCAGAAGAGGTGGCCTGCCTCGGAGGGCACTCGCCAGCTCCCTGTGGAGGACACCAGCCTTTTGAGCTGCCTCCGACCCTCCCAGAGGGCACGAGCTGGATCCCTACCCCCCACCAGAATCACCCACTTCTGGCTTTTCCTAGGACTTTGGTAGGTGTTCTGGGAGCCGAGGCCGAGGTGGATAAGCGCTGGCTCCCTTTTCCTAACACTAAGGTTTACACGGAAACCCACCCCTGAGTGTTAGTGTGTCTAAGTTTCTAGGTGTCCGGGTGTGGTACGTTCACCCCCATCTCCCCGTGCGCATTACAGTCCATCTCCACTAGCCCTGGAGAAAAAGTGTCCTTCTCTCCCTATAGTTCAGCTGCTTAAAAATCCTCCCTGGTTCTTATGTTGACTCCACTCCCTCTGCCAGTACTTCCAGCTCTGCCGAAGGTGGGGGTGACAGAGTGGCCCCTACAAGGGCGGCAGAGCCAGGAAGCAGCTTCAAAGGTTTCGGTAACGACTCTTCGGCCTTTATTTATGTCCCTATTAATACAATATCCATCATATGCAGATATCGATCTTTATCCTTTAAACTGATACGCTGAGAATCAATTAGCCATGCAGATTACATTTCCTACGTATCCGAATGTTAATCTTTCAGACTCAGAGCCGGTGATATATATTTTTGCAGCCAGATAGTATTAGATTTCGTTTGGCAAAGAAAAGAAGAAAGAAGAAAGGCTCTCTGACTCGCATTCCTCTTGGGGCTACTTGTCTTGACTCTTGGCTCTATGCTGGGAATTGGAATACCCCATCGTGAAGCTTTTTTTTTTCTCTGTCTCAAGAAGGGGCAAACCTTCCACAGTGACTTTAATGAGTTGCCACCACGCGGACCCAGGACAGCTATCTGCAAGATGACTTTGAGAGGGCCTTGCCGGCGGCGCTTGCGCTGCAGTTGCACGCGCTAAATTCTGGCGTCTCTCTGGCTGCTTCTTCGTTTCATTGTCCAAGATGGTCAGTTTTCATCTGTTCAGAGTTACGCTCGTGATTCTCCCGTTCCCAAGCTCGGAATTCAAAGTAATTCTGCTCCCACTCTCGCCTAGAGAAAAAGAAATTGTGTTTTTTTAAAGGGGATGAGCGTTTTCCTCTGGCGGGGGCGGGGGCGGGGGCGAAGGTGTGGAGAAAAAGTTAGAGATGCAGAAATGGTTTAAAGTCTAGGTAGGACTTAAGTCGTGTCTAGCGATTCCGCCAGGGCGATTCTGGTTTGCTTTTCTCTGTCGGTGCGGTTTTTTTCTCGCTCCGTCTTTCCTCTTTTCCCCTTCTTTCTCGGCATCCCCCACCTCCCCCCCTTTCTCTTCTATCCACCCTCTTCGCTATAATAAAGTCTTAGGATCTTGAAGACAGCTGTCCCTCCCTGCCTAGCTAAGTTGCCTAGTCGCTAGTTCCCTAGTTGCCGAACGCACTCTGTGGCTGTGAGTCTCTTCCAGGCAGGTGCACATGGCAGCTTCCGGTTGTCCCCTCCTAGCTCCGGGTCTGCTCCCCGCAGGGCTTTGGCCAGATCGAATCTAGCGAGGAGGCTGGAAACCCTGCCTCCTCCACCTGTTGAGATTCCTCGGCCCAGTTGGCTGCAGTGTCTCCCGCTCTAGTCTTGTCTTTAAAGCCCCAGGGTCGCCGGGCCTGGGCACACATGGGCAGCCTCCAGCTGCCATGACCCCCTGTGACTAGCGGCCATGCTCGGCGTGGACACCCTGCACTTAAACACTGGTTTTCGACTTTTCTCCCTTCTTGCTCCTACTAATCAATTGACCCCCATCCCTCCGATTGAAATCATCCAGCACCAAAATCTCCTGTGAGTCGAAGGGATCGGATCCAGAGGAGCGGTGTCAGCCCACGGTCCTGACGCCAGCACCGGGATGACTCAGAAACAGGTCTGCACTCATTCCAGCCAAAGGCCTGTCACCTCGCCCGCCACATCACCACTGCTTTCCTACTCCACCACCCAGCCAGCCTCTAGAGCAGGATTCGCAGTCCCTGTCCTTCTGTCTAGTTTCTCTGAAACAGGAATTCCTGGGAGGGTCATTTGCCTACCTTTTTGTTCCAGTCAGCAGTCCTTAGAACGTTTGTCGACCTTGCTTCTCTGGCTCACTCCTTCTGACTACTCTTGCCCGGACTCAACCTCTCTGGTTGCCTCTGCACAAAGGCGGCTTGGGCTGCTCCGGGTACCAGTCAGTCAGTCCGCAGGCTAAGGAAAGCCCTTTCTCCTTACCCCCTAACCACAGACACACCAGATCCAGACCTACACGCACAGTCATGGAATTGGATCAAGTTCTCCTCCTCAGTTTACTCCCATCAACGCGTGCAGAGAGGATTAATTTTATTATTATTATTATTATTATTATTATCATCATCATCATCATCATCATCATCATCATCACTATCGTTATCATTATTTTGCAAGATTCCTCAGGCTGTGGCAGATCACCATCCGTGTTTACATAAAGATAAATCTTGAAAATGAACTTCTGTAAGACTAGACAGATATAGTTTCTGCTTGTTCTGTTGGCTTTCAATTTTGTTTTTAAAATTTTCTCTTCCTCTCTTTTTCCTTTTCCTTTACTCTTTCTTTCCCACAAACCATATGTTCTTTATTGCTTTCCTCTCGCAGTCCCCTAAGGACCCTCTGCTACAGGGGCATGACAGGGACAAACCCGCTGTGGCTCACCCAGACATTTCAATGAGGTGCCCAGATCCGCTTCTTGATCCTAAATCCAAGATCACCCTGCCTGAGATTTTGATGGAGAGAAGAGCGGCACCAACGCTTTTGACAAGTGACTGTGGAGTTGGGATGCGAAATGACCCGCCGCTGATGCTGTAGTGGCTGTGCTGCTCCGCGGGTTTAATCCGCACCTTCACCAGTAGCCCAGTAGCTAACACTGTTTGTTCGTCGGGAAGCTCATGGCCTAGAATCCAGAGTTTTATTTTATTTCTTTTTGTAGGACTGAGGGTTCCTCAGCAGTTGTCCCATTGTATCCTGTCGCCCAGTGGTGTATTCCTCCAACCTCTACTCCCACCCTCCCACCCCGGGGACCTGTTCCTGTCTCAGCGACTCTCCCACCAGACCCAACAGAAAGAGTCCTGGAGGCTTTCATCACCACTTTACTCTCCTCTTTCTTTACATTATTTTACATAGATTATAATTCTGGGGTAAGTCTTGTGGCTTCCTGGAAGCGAGGTTATCTCTGGGAGGGAGGCCTGAAGAAGCTCACACATGGTCCAACCCCAGCCCCAAAGTGAGGAGGATGCACAAAAGAAGTGTTGCCATGCCCGGGCAGAAGCCATTCCAGGCCTTTGGGATGTAGATTCCTAGATCCATACCCACTTGGGAACTAAGAACTAAGCATAGTCCAGTGAGGCTTGGTGTTACCCGAAACACCTCTAACGTGTGTGTGTGTGTGTGGGGGGGGGAGGCTTACAGGAGTCAACCGCAATGCTCCCTTCTTCAGTCGCCACTTGTTGCAGGGGTTAAATTGTACTATTTTTGTACTCAAGACTCGAATTTCAGTTTACAAATATGTGAATGTTAGGGGCGGATGCCAGGACTATTCACAGGATTCTTGCAGGCACTTCCCGGGACACATGTGAGGTTCGCTATGTGCCTGTGGAATAGTACTGCTGCCCAAACCTGGCTTCTCCCTGCTAGATCCTCTGCTGTCACTAACTTGTTCGATTAGCGGCTGCACTGTGGTCAGATTGAGCACCTGGACTGGCTGGCCCAGTGGCTCCTAGCTGGGTGGAGATTCCCGATGCAGGCTGTTGAGATAGGGTGGTTTTAGCTTCCAGACACATTTGGGGAAAAAAGAAGAGAGAAGCCCAAACCAAACTGTCTAAACCTCTGGGAACCAGGAATTGTCAGATGGGGGGCGGGGCGGGGGACGGGGCAGTAACCTGTGTGGGCTTCTTCCAAATCTGGTTTGCCTGCTTTGGTTTGTCAGGGTGGGTGCCACTGTCAGGAGATCCTCAGCCAACATCACTACCTTGGTCTTCGCCATGGAGCTTTAGAAATGTTCTAGCTGCTGTGTCCGCTCAGTGCTCTCAAGATCCGTCGGGACTTCTGGGTGGAGATGGGTTGGCCTTTATCCGTTGGTGGCATGTGAACCCGAGAGTGCTGGGCAGGGGAGGAAAAGAACTCAGTCTTTGCTTCTACCCTTACCCCAGCCCCTCTGCCACTGAGAATACATTTAACTAGCAGGTGGTAAGTGGTCTATGAATGTATTATTGAACTGGCACCCATGAACTATTCAACTGGCAATGCCTCTGTGGAAGTGTCCCAGAGGGCTTTCTGAACCCAGAAAGGAATCTACAGCGACCCATTACAAACGAGAGTCACCATTGCTGGCTTTCCAGCAAGATCAGCCCTCTGGAGAACTGGGACCACACCACTGACGCCTTGAATTAAAAAACAGAGGAGACTCGGCCCCAGAGGGCTCTAACCTCAAGGAGCGATCCCTTTTCACTGAGTGTGCAGCCTGAATTTACCCTCTTGAAGTTCACCTTGGGTCCCTCCTCCCCCATCAATTAAAGCTGACCTTACAAAGTGCCAAACCGGCTCCAGTTGGCTATGGGGAGGCAAAAAACTTGGAAAAGTCAGCTCCTAAGTTGCTATGGATGTGCTGTGACCTACAAAACGAGTACCCAAACTTTGAAGGACTCCCTGTCCCGGAAAAGGAAGTGAGAAAGTGTTGTCCCTTGACAAACTGAATCATTTGATATAAAACTTGGTTAAGCAGTGCTTAGGACAACAAACAGCTTCTGGGCTTTCCACTGTGAACTCAAATGCTCCTCCCCCAAGTGTGGGTGAGTGGGGGTGGGGTGTCCAGACATTTTCTGGAATCCCCAGAGGCCTGTCTCGCCTGCTCCCAGGGTCAAGGAAGCCTTTTGACTTTGCAGCAGGGTCTCCCCCCCCCCCCCCCCCCCCCCCCCCCCCCCCCGCCCCCGCCCCCCCGCCCCCCCCGCCCCCCGCCCCCCCCCCCCCCCCGCCGCCGCCGCCACCACCAATCTTGCCTCTTGAGTTTGCCTTAATTAGGGGGTGGGCAAGTAGGATTGGGGGCCTGAGTTCACGTCAAAACTGTCAAAGGAGATGAGGTAGAGGGACATAGAGAGAGGGGTGGAGGACTCAGGGGCAGGAAAAATTCAAATATCATAAAAGGAAAAAGGGGGAACTTGAAGCCCAGAAGTCATTGTTTCCTTTATTTCAAAGGGAAAAAACCTGCCCGATTCTCATCCTTTTGATTGATTAAGGCCCTGAATACCTCTCGGCCCCAGACTGACAGTCCCTGAATAGACTCGAGGGAATAAAGAGCAGTGCAGAGCGCGGGGCTGGCACTCGGGGGTGTAAAGGAGGCGAGTTCGCTGGCACTTACCAAGTTATAAATAAAAGGCTATGCACAATGGTACCTTCTCTAAGGACAGACAGTCTTTACAACACTCCTGGCGTCATATCCTGCTGGGGACACTTCAGCCCCTAGCCAAGACTTTGCTCCTTTTATTTTTCCAGCAGTTTAGTCTGAATGCCATAATAAATTCCTGAGAACAAACGCTGCAGCCGGGCAAAACTTCAACATATAGATGCATGTGCATCGGGGATCGATCCGTATGTGAGATTTAGAGTCCCGGCTTCCCAGAAAGGCTTTTAAACCAAGAAAGGGGGCTGAATCCTCCATCCCACCTTGCAACTTCTAGTCGGGGTCCTAGCCACGGATGTCGTAGCTACACCACCTATCCTTCAGACCCAGACTAAGGAAAACAAAAGGACCTTCTGGGTACATCCTGGACTCTTCCCGAGAGGAGCCGCTCTGGGAGGTTCCCATAGCGAGCCCAGGCCCAGGGAAGACCAGGGAAAACAAAACTTAATATGTCCGGGACTCCTTAAGTCTTTTTACGAGTTACTCCACCCCCACCCCCGTGTTAGTAACCCTGAAGAAAAAGCAGACACACACACACACACACACACACACACACACACACACACACACACACACACACAGAGTATGAGACAGATAGAGCAAGCCTATCAGGGAGAGACACAGAGAGACTGGGACAGATGGACAGGAATGGAAAACCAAAGAGATCAGAGGGACGCACTGTAGAGTGACAGACACAGCGAGCCCTTCTCCATCCTCAGCCGCTCTCATCACCCAGACAGCCTCTTCCAGTTTTAACCTGTCTACCCTTCTTTCTCAGGAAAGGGGCACAGAGCTGGTCCCCCTCCGGGTCGGTGGAGGCCTGGGCACTGTCAGGGATGGGAAGAGAAAGTAGCTTCTGTCGCCCAATCAGCGCGTGTCTTCGCCACCCGGGACGGTCTCCTCGTCGGCCAATCGCAGCTCAGGGCTTCTGACCAAGCTTTGGGTGAAAGAACTAATAAATGCTCCCTAGTCCGGATCACAGCACTCGGTGTCACGACGGGAGGAGACTAAGGCTGTGCTCCCGCTTCGTCACCACCCTCCCGCCCCCGATCTTCGTGGCTCCTTGAGCACCCTTGCCAGTGGCCCCAGCTGAGGGGCCTTTCTGCCAGACTCTCACCAAACTTGTCCGCCTTGGGCTTAGGAGCCTTCATTCTAGGGAATCCTCTGGAGCGGGTGAACTAAGAACTAGCAGCTCCCCCTCCCCCTGCGCCCCGCCTCTCTCTCCTGCCTTCTTTTTTGGGGAGGAGCTCTCCGCGATCTGGAGAGTTCCCGAGGGTCACCCGCCGCATTGCGCTCGCTCTTGCGTCTCGCCTTCACCTGGATATAATTTGCGAGCGAAGCTGCCCCCAGGATGACCACGCTGGCCGGCGCTGTGCCCAGGATGATGCGGCCCGGCCCGGGGCAGAATTACCCACGCAGCGGCTTCCCGCTGGAAGGTATGTTAGGGCCTCAGCCCATCCGGATCCCGGGGCCTGGGATTGGCTGCCGCACCCCATTCCAGGTCTCCAGGGCCTCGGAGTCTTGCGTTCCCCGGAGCCTCTTCCTCTGTACTTCCCATCCTAAGAAGCAATAGTCGGGAGGGGGTCTCGTGGAGGGGAGAGAAGCCTCATTTCACTTTCTGACTGCAAACGCAGCACCGTACTCTACACAAACCCTCGGAGCTTTGCTCGGCCTGCTCCTGCCGGCTCCACTTTACCCCGTTGTGTTGGAGTTGCTGCCGCAAAGAAGGGGGACAAGCTTCGCAGCAGTGGAAACAAGTTCTTTCTGTCTACCCAAAGCTGCTACGAAATTGTCCCGGCTGCGCCCACTTTTCAAAAACTCCTGTTAGTCCGGCAAGAATTTTCCTGCTGTGGAAAACTGAGGTGGTCCGTCCTAATTGGAAGTTTTGGTATTGATTAATTAAATTCCAATCAACTCAAGAGGCATCTCGAAGTTTCTAACATGTTTGGGGATGCCTTTTGGTTTGCTTGAAGGTTTGGGGAAATTTCGGGGAGGCAGAAATTACTGCAAACCCAAACTCTACCAAACAATTTGGGAAGTAAGGGCAGTCTTTCGACCTCGGTCCACAGTACAATTCAGCGTTCAAGAGCAGTAATCGCGGCTGTGGTGCCCCCAGCCAGGCCGCCGATTTTTATTTCTGAGGTGTAACAGGTGATACGCCCTGTCACCTGTGTCTCCTTTCCCGACCCTCCCTGACCCTTGCCTACTACACTCTGATCCGGAAACACTAAAGACTGTCAGTTTGCTCCAGACTCCGTAGGATTTTGTCCCAGTAAGCGCCAGACATTCTAGGCAACCAGCCCTAGTTCTCTCTCCAACTTTCAGCACTCACTCTCCGACCTCCCCAAAGAGAAAATAGTTTCTCTGCAGCAAGTTATCTTGCAGCAATTACTCAATTTCCAAAAAGATTATATGCCCCTGCAGTGGGTAATCATTGAAACAATCATAGCCCTAAGGGTCCGGCACTGGGAGTCCAAAGCCTGGTAGTTGAAACTGGCTGTCACTGGAGGGTTGGCCGGAAGGATGAAGAGTTAGGCTCTTTCGTCTTTCTGCTGCTTTTTAGTCTTCCTAATTGATTTTCGCCTGGACTCTGTCTTTTGCGTTCTCTTCTCAGTATCCACCCCCCTCGGCCAGGGCCGGGTCAACCAGCTCGGAGGAGTATTTATCAACGGCAGGCCTCTGCCCAACCACATCCGCCACAAGATCGTGGAGATGGCCCACCACGGCATTCGGCCTTGCGTCATCTCTCGCCAGCTGCGCGTGTCCCACGGTTGCGTCTCTAAGATCCTGTGCAGGTACCAAGAGACAGGCTCCATCCGTCCTGGTGCCATTGGAGGCAGCAAGCCCAAGGTGAGCCTGGGGCCTGGTTTCGTGGACTGGGGGTCCGTGGTCCAGCGGGTGGGGAGTGGGCACTCTCCAGCAAGGAGTAAGGGACTTTCCAAGGGAGGTATTATACCTTCATATCTGGGAAGGAGTTGTGTGTGTGTGTGTGTGTGTGTGTGTGTGTGTGTGTGTGTAGAACTCAGTTATTATGGTTGCTGGTGGTCCTACAACATTGAAAAAACGGCTAGCATTTTTTGGCAAAGGAAGGTAACAGTTTAAATGCCTGGGAGCCTTGGAACCCTCATCAAATTATTGTAATAAACACTTAAAGCAAGCCCACTGGTTGCTGATTTTCCCCGAGTCTTCCCAACCCCCACTCACTGCACCACCTTCCTAGAATGAAGCTAAAAATCCCAATTTGGTTCTCGAATAGTTTCTTTCCCAGCATTGAACACACACACCCATGCAAAGAAGTCAAAAGTCAAGGCTATTAGTTTTCTTTATGATAAGCCTCTTGACTCCATTTTTTAAAAAGCAGTTTGGTGAGATCCTTAAATCATGTTGGTTTTCTTTAATAAGCAAGAAAGTCCTGCTGGCTCCGGGGTGGGAGGAGATTATATGAGACCTGCCTTCTTGGGTTATTCAGAGAAGAAGCCAGTATGATTTTCTAGTTGCCAGGGGGGCAAAGTCAAATGGGCATTGATGACTCTCAAACACAGTCCCTCTTCCTCCCCATTTTCCCTTTTAACCTGAGCAAGAATCTTAGGAGTGAGTGAAAGAGCCATTCTTTCAAGCTATCTATGTTTGTCTAATTAAAAAAAACAACAGCAACAATACAACCTAGATACATGGCCTTTGAAATCTCATCCTAATCCTCCCATAGCTCAGATCTGACCTCTTTGGAACTGACTTAATTTTATTTTTCTGTGATTCTTTCAAGCATTTTCCTTTTAGTTTCGTTTTTGTGTGGGTTCGGTGGGGTTTCTAGTGGACCAGAAAGTAAGCCTTCACCTCCAAACTTACAATTTTCTTTTAAATTTAATCTGGTCCTCCGTGTATCTTCAGGCAGATAGAAGGTCTCCAGGCTGCCCGAATGGGAAAATTTCCTGTCTGCTCTTTTCCAAACTGAATTAAAGTTCTTTGGCTAAGCTGAGGGACATTCCCAAAATATATAGGAAGGAGCATCCTACAGACCATGAGGTGAAGGCACCGCATCTGGTTCACAATATTGGGTACCAATGCACCACCCGCCTATTCTCTTAAAGCAGGTGACAACGCCTGACGTGGAGAAGAAAATTGAGGAATACAAAAGAGAGAACCCGGGCATGTTCAGCTGGGAAATCAGAGACAAATTACTCAAGGACGCTGTCTGTGATCGGAACACTGTGCCGTCAGGTACTTGGTCCTTTAACTTTTCCCGGAGGCGCGATCCTCAGTCTCTTCCTTCAATGGGCCATACCAGCCATAAAATCTCCCCAGTTATCCATCGTGGCTATTGGGAGGCTGCCCTGAAACATTTACAAGGCAGACATTCTTGATGCTTTATGGAGAACTGGGTGAACTGCTGATCCCCAGGGTGGCGGCTTTGAGGGCGACCTGATGTTTTCCGCAAACGGATTTCTACTAAGGAGACTGAGACGGAAATGCGGGGCACAGGCCAAATGATTATTAGTATTGATGTTCCCTTCTAAAGAGAAACAAATGTTTGGTAACTTCCTCTGAAGGGAGATCCAAGCCTTACCTGTGGAGAGTTGGCTGGAGCAGTAAAGGGGTGAAAATTCGGCCCCCGACAAGATTTCCCCAGAGTTTCAGGATCCGTCCAACATCCTGGCAGCTAGGGAGAGGTTCAGGAGAAGAAGGGCCAGAGCTGGGCCTCCGCGCGGGAAGAGTTTGTTTTTAATTAAAAGGAAACTCCCTTTTTCCCTCTGTAAGAACGATATATTTCAGAGCATGGATTTGTTTACCAGACTGGAATCTGGAAAAAATAAATCGGAGAGAGTACGTTTTCTTTTGATTTTTACAATAGGGAATGATTCTGCAGTTGAAATTTAAACCCCTTCTATCCTCAAAACAAGTTGATTTGCAGGCGACAGGCCCTCTGTAGTTCTTCCCAGGACTTTGGGGCCCAGTGTCTTCGGGTTGGGAGGGGGCACGGTGAAGTTTCTTAGGTTGTTCCGAGGCAAGTAGCCGAGGGCTTCTCGGAGAGGACAGCGGTAACAAATATTTCTCGGTTCTGAATGGGAGGTGCTGCGAGATTTACAGTTTCTAGCTCCAGTTTAAGTTATGAAAATGTGTGTGTGTGTGGGGGGGCGGTTAGGACAAGAGAGAACGCAGAAGGATCGGGATGCCACCAGAAGCAGGACATTGCAATGAGCCCTGCCCAGGAGCAGGAAGTAGGTTGAAAGCCTCGGCTGGGCCTTTGAGATCTTTGCCCACACCTCTCAATCGTATTCGCTCCCTTCCTCCTCTGATCTCCAGTGAGTTCCATCAGCCGAATCCTGAGGAGTAAATTTGGAAAAGGAGAAGAGGAGGAGGCGGATCTAGAGAGGAAGGAAGCAGAGGAAAGCGAGAAAAAGGCTAAACACAGCATCGACGGCATCCTGAGCGAGCGAGGTAAGGGGCCCCAGAGGGCCGTGCGCTCCTACAGGGCGAGCGCTGGTTCTAAGACTTGTGGGTCTGCGCAACCGCAGACCGGCTCTGGCTCATCTCAAAGCTCAACTCCGGCCTTGGTCACAGCTACTGCTCTCGGGAAGGACATTCAAGTCAAAGACCAGAGAGGTACTTGGAGTTAAACAAAAGTCTTCTTCATTTCAATCTTTATTTTATTTTCCTGGCGCTCAAATCCCGGACCATACACTCAGCAAGTGCTGTACCTCTGAGCCACACTCCAATAATACTAACTCTAAGTTATTGGGAGTTTTATTCTCCAACATTTCTAGTTCCTTGGAGTTGAGAAGTTTGAAATGTGTTGCAGGTGGATTCTTCCTAAATGGAAGCTAATCTTCTCTGAAAAAAAAAAAAAAAATGAAACGGGCTGAGACTATGGAGTTTGAAGTAGCTTTCACACTCCGGGCAAAACTGTGCATGTGGGCGAGAATTAATAAGAATATGATCCTCCTGGGCGGTGGGAGCCTAACGTTGCCCCAACTGCTGCTGCCTTCTACATGTGTGTTTGCACATGTGTGTTCATAAGCTGGCTACTTTTCATTTGTTTTCAAGTGGGATGAAGTATATTATAACCTGTGTGTGTCTGGCAACTGACTGTGCCCAAGTGGTACGCTATAGGGATCTGGGTCAAAGGGATCTGTGTTCTTGAGCCCCCAGTCCCAGCACCCTCTGTCCCCCAGGGGTACAGACCACCCACTCCTTGTTGGCTGTGGCCTGTCAGCACCAAAAGAAAAATCTCCCTCCAGGGGATGGAGAATTACAGGCTGTTTCCCTATTACCTGCCTGGGGTCATTTTAAAAAATAAAGGTTTACAGAAAGAAAGAACCCATTTCTACCAGAGCTTTCTGAGATGAACTATGAGAAACTTGGCTCTAGCACACAGATTGCTGTATCTCTCTCTTTTTTTTTTTACATTTGGGACAACTGCTGGCCTTCCAGGAAAGCTGCTTTGCAAACCAATACAAAAGCTGCACACTCGATATCTAGAGTTGGATGTTAGCAACCAAGTGTCAGACTTGTAGTAAACGGAAACCAAGATGCGTTAAGGCACACATATAACCAGGAAAAGACACCCCAAATGGAAGGAGGTTGAACAGGGAGAAGGAACATATTGTTTTGTGTTTACAGCGGGGCTTCTGTGAAGTCTGTGTAAACCTGGACAAATGCATTTCTGGTCACCTCTGTTTTTCATTCCAGCCCTAGCTGCAGTCTAGAAGCCCTGTGATAAAAGAAGGCAGAGGGCTAAGGACCCAGCCTCACTGGGCTCCTAAAGCAGAGGCTAGTAGAGCCTTTGGTTATGGGACAGGCCTTGCTGGGATCTATGGCTTTGCTACTTGTTGCTAGAAGTGGCAGTCAGGCAGAGCAGCCGATCCCTCACAGTCGCAACAACCAAGGCCCAGGAGACAAAACGTCTCAAATGAGCTGGTCAAACATTTGTACAACTTTTCCAGCGTTTACAAAGAAGGCCTTCTCTACACAATCTACACTTGGAGATGAACTTGGGAGACAAAGCCTGGAGAGTCCATTGAAACTCACACTTTAGCTTGGCCCAGACAAAGCTCCAGCTCGGAGCAGCTTGATGTGAACAAAGGAAGGCAGCCTTTTTATAATTCAAGGAGAAAAGAAGAGAAAACAGCCCCACAAAGGGCCCAGAATAGACATTATGGGCTTGCAATGAGGGATGAATTATTCAATGAGCCCCAGTAGCTGCTGAGCCAGGAAGTTTTATGGACTCTCCCCCCCTCAGAGGCCCCCCCCCTCTTTTGCCTTCCCCAATTTTCCTTCGCCCTTGTCCAATCCAAGAGCTGCTCAGCGCAAGCAGCGGCTGCGTCTACCCCTGCTCCAAGGGAACCCCAAACTCTGTGCACCCCTGCTGAGTCCATCCTTCCTGCTGCTGCACAGTGGTGAAAGAAGAGGGATGTGGGCCGGGAACCTTCCAGCCTGTCCTTGGCCAGCAGTGCAGACGGAGCAGGCGCAGCCGGACCTGCGGAGTCCGAGCTCAGGCACCCCCCGACTCAATTGCCTCCTTTATGTCCCTCTCACTTTCATCTAGACACAGCCCGCCTCCCCCTTCTTCTCTTTTTTTTTCTTCCCTCCCTAGCCTGAGGCTCACATTAGTGAAATTTCTGCAACCTCCCCCATTTTTTTTTCTTATTTTAAAGAAAGCCCTTAACACAAAAGCGGTGACTAATCGATAGAAACTGCTCCTTCATCATCCTCTCCTCCTCCTCCCCTCCTTTTCCCTCCTCCCCTTACTCCTCTTCCTCTACCTCCCAACCCCCTCCCTTTCTCTCAGCAGGGTGACGCTTTTCCTGTTTGTGAGTTTTGGGCAACATTTTTGCTTTGTGCGGTAATGGAATTACCGGACAGACGGGGGACTGTAAGATGGACACGCGACGGCAAGACTTTCCGCTTAAATATTTAGATGTAACGTTACAATTACGGACTTGTTGCCGTGGCTTTGAAGTAGCCGTGCGGGAGCGCAAGGGGAAAGAGGCCAGATTGCCAAATTGATGTTTTGATTGGGCCTCGAGACACGCTTTCACCGGACTCTTCCCCCCTTTAAAAATAAAATCTAAAATAAGCGTGGGAGGTTTGCAACAATCGCAGGGATAAAACTGAGAGAATTCCGGCACAGGATCTCTGGGAGCCTATATTTCCTTCACTTTCCCTTTTTCTTTTGTGAAAAACCAACCAACCAACCAATCAAACAAACAAACAAAAACTGTTTTTTTTTTTTTTTGATTTTCAGAAAATGCAAGTGTCAGAAGATTTTTCTTGAGCCCATTTTGTGGATAAGCTCATGATCTTTACTAAAATTAATGACAAATGACGTCAGATTAAAAATGTATGTCTATAAAGACCGGGGTTGGGGGGGAGGTAAAGTTCTTGGAATATTTCGTTTCCAGTAGATTGTTCGGAAAGCACTCTGGAATGGAGGGAGTCCTGCTGTGAAAAGCAAAGCCATTTGCTTCTTCCTTGTTGGTGGGGAAGGGAATTGGTTGGTGTGGTGTGGGGCACAGGCTGAGCCTTCCTACAGATTAAAATAACCGGGCGCAGGATCACAGATTTCTGGGCCCAGATCTTTTATTACTGGCCACTTCCTGACCATTCTTAAGTCCATTTGCCAGGACAGGAGTCTGCCTTCAACGTCATATTTAGACCTGGAGATACATTTTAAAGTTGTGAAGGCGTTACCATTCTACGCAAGGAAAGTGTCCCATTTAAAAAAAAAAATGTATTGGCCATGACAGGGCCACCACACCGCAGTAACATTCCCTAGCCAGAACAATGGGGAGGTAAGGGGTGGGAAGGGTTTCTGTCCTTAGCACTTCCTTTTTCCTCTTGTTTTACTGGGGTAACTGCTGTATGCTTGCTTTTTAGCTTTATTGAAAACATACAGGTTTTCTAATTAATGCACGAAATCATATGTTTATTTTGGGTTTTGATGTGATTGTTGATAGCACCGGAACAGGAGGTAGGGGCTTCCAGTGTGTAATAATTACTGAAGGGTCATTTAAGAGTCTCCAGGGCTGAGTCATAAAACACACCCGGGCGATGATGCGGAACCAGAAAGTGTGCCTCGGTTGAGACAAGTGGAATATACAGAAATCAATCAAGTGAATAGGACCGTTGCACTTAGCACTAGCGGTTTCTGCATCCATGAATAATCTGAGGACAAAACAAAAATCCTTCCTAATCATGAGATTAAACATTCAAGTTATACAGAGATAATTGGCCAGCAGAATAAACAGATCAGTGACAAGTTGCCTGGCCTGGGACCTGGAAAGTTTCAGTTTAGTGGGTCCCTATGACAGGTAACTTATTTATTCATCCCAGTAAATGAAGATTAAGGAACTATTAAGGACAAGAACCTACCATGTAACCCACCAGCCACTAAAGGGCAATTAAGCAGTCAGCTTCGGAGTCTTATCTCACTGGCTGCTCTAGGGTTGTTTTACAACCAGGAATTAAAATCTGAAAGGGGAGTTTTCTGCAGCTCTGGCCAAATATTGATTAAGGAGCTGTTTGTTGATACCATTGTCATCCATTAAAAGGCTGGGAGCTCAGCCCCTCAGTGGCTACCTTCTTTTGTGAGGTCTTCTTAACCACACAGATCAAAGCGGGATCATTTCAATTTATCTGTCTTGGAAAATCCTCCTTTTCCTCGGAAATCTCTAAGGAGGAACTGACCAAAGTCCCCTTTAAGAAGAGGAACTGAAACCAGTTCCATGTTGTCTCCTAGAGAAGGCTCCTGGGGTGTTTTTTCAATTATCCTGTGGCGATTTCATGTTCAGTACTGAGGCTGAGATAGTGATTTTTATCAAGTTGGCTCTCCTTTGGGGTGAGGGAGGGAGGATATCTGTTATGGCAAATTTTGTAAATATGAATTTGTCACTATAATTGCCTCCCAGGCTGGAGTGCTATGCAGAAAAGATATCAGATTTTTTTAGATGTAAAATTAGATGGAGAATATATTACACAGAAGAAGATGAGATATAATGGGCATATCTATGTGCGGCATTTTCATAATTTTGTGTTTGTTTTTAAACCCCCGTAATACAGGAGAGATATGTGTTCATGTGCTCAGTGTGTGTTGTAGGGGTTTATTTACAAACTGGTCACTGAGAATTAAGCTGGTCCTGGGCTTTATAAAGGCGTATTTATCCTGCAAACTGTACTTCTAGAGGCATCAGAGTTGGAAGTAACAGCATAGATCTTAATACATTCCCAGATGTTGACTGCTAGGAAAAACACCTGAATCCCATCATGACTTCTGTAGTTGTTGATTTTTAGATCAGCTATTAGGTTTTTGTTTGTTTAAGAATTTAGTATATTTGTATTGGTTTTTCCTTTCTTTATGACGGCAAAAAAAATCTTTCAAGGGCTCCTTTGGAAATATACCATTTCTGCGCTTAATTTGCAAATTCCAACAAATTACTCTGAGGTTCTCCTATTTATACCAGAGTCAGGCTTGGGATATTTCTCTGTATGTCATGTATGTGCCACTGTGTGAGGCTTTGTGAGTACTCTTGCAGTGTGCATTTTGATTCTAAATAATGGTTTTATAAGAATTTACATTTTTTATTATTTACTTTTTCTTTGTAAACAAGGTTGTCTTGACATGTGGAACAAAGTCTATGCTGGCTATATTTATCTTACAAATATTTTTAAAAATTCTATGTCAGAATTATGTTAACTCATAATGAATTCATCCACCTATGTTCAAATACCCAGCAGTATAGGATAGCACTAATCAATCATTACAATACAGTATGACTGCCTGAAATAGCGTAGGCTGCAAGTTAGAGTCAGCTTGATGATTTGCCATTCCTGGGTCAGGTACAGCATCATTCAATCCTTTGT